AAACCAGTTGATTGTTCAAACCTCCGTGTATTTGGAAGTATTGTGTACATGATGTACAACACCCAAGAAATTTCAAAGCTAGATCCAAAATCCAGGAAATGCAAATTCTTGGGGTATGTTGATGGAGTAAAGGGGTATCACTTGTGGGATCCTACTGCCCGTAAAGTGATCATTAGTAGGGATGTTATCTTTGTAGAAATACACAAGAAAAGAAGACGATGACAGCGTTGAAAAGTCAGAGACTACACAAATACATGTGGAAAAGAAGTTTGAACAAGGAGATTCTTCTGAAGCAGAACCAGCACATGATGAACAAGAACCAGAGAGTTCTGAAGCTCCAACAACTCGTCAATCAGATCGTGTGAGAAGACGTCCCAATTGGCACTCAAATTATGTTATAGAAGGAAATGTTGCATACTGTCTTTTAACAGAGGATGGTGAGCCATCAACATATCAAGAGGCAATAAACAGATCAGATGTTTCACTGTGGATGATGGCGATGCAAGAAGAAATCGAAGCCCTTCATAAAAATAATACATGAGACCTTATGCCACTGCCACAAGGAAGGAAGCCAATTGGTAACAAAATGGGTCTTCAAAATCAAGCGAAATGGTGACGATCAAGTTGAGAGGTATCGTGCAAGACTGGTGGTCAAAGGATATGCTCAAAAAGAAGGTATTGATTTCAATGAAATATTTTCTCCTGTGGTTAGACTAACAACGGTTCGAGTAGTCTTGGCAATGTGTGCTACATTGAACTTACATCTAGAGCAGCTAGATGTTAAAACAACTTTTCTTCATGGAAATCTTGAAGAAGAGATTTACATGCTCCAGCCTGAAGGTTTTGAAGAAAAAGAAAAGAAGAACTTGGTTTGCAGGTTTAACAAATCTCTGTGCGGTCTAAAGCAGGTGCCGAGGTGTTGGTATAAGAGATTTGATTCCTTCATTATGTGCCTTGGATACAACAGACTTAATGCAGACCCTTGTGCTTATTTCAAGAGGTCTGGTGATAACAATTTTGTTATATTACTGTTGTATGTGGATGACATATTGGTTGCAGGACCCAACAAAGATCATATTGAAGAATTGAAGGCACAACTGGCTAGGGAATTTGAAGTGAAGGACTTAGGATCAGCAAACAAGATTCTAGGGATATAAATTCACCGAGACAGAAGTAATAGGAAGATTTGGCTTTTACAAAAGAATTACTTGAAGAAGATCTTGTCACGATTCAACATGCAAGATTGTAAGCCAATTTCTACCTCTCTTCCTATTAACTTCAAATTATCCTCCAGTATGAGTCCTAGCAGTGAAGAAGAGAGGATGAAGATTTCTCGAGTACCGTATGCATCAGCAGTGGGAAGTTTAATGTTCGCTATGATATGCACAAGACCAGACATTACACAAGCAGTGGCAGTGGTTAGTTGGGTACATGGCGAATCCAGGAAAAGAGCATTGGAATACAGTAAAGAGGATCCTAAGATACATCAAAGGGACCTCAAATATTGCATTATGTTACGGAGGATCAAACTTACTAATCAATGGTTTGTAGATTCTGACTATACAGGGGATTTGGATAAAAGCAAATCTACTACATGATATGTGTTCAAAGTTGCTGGTGGAGCTGTAAGCTGGGTTTCAAAATTGCAGTCAGTTGTGGCTACATCCATAACAGAGGCAGAATATGTAGCAACTACATAAGTCAGTAAAGAAGCAATTTGGTTGAAGATGCTATTGGAGGAGCTTGGGCACAATCAAGATTATGTCTATCTGTTTTGTGACAGTCAATGTGCCTTGCATCTAGCAAGGAATCCAGCATTTCATTCAAGGACAAAGCACATACGGGTTCAATACCATTTCATTCGTGAAAAGGTGGAAGAAGGAACGATAGATATGCAGAAGATCCATACCAAAGACAACATAGTAGATTTCATGACGAAGGCGATCAACGCAGATAAATTTACCTGGTGTCAATCCTCCTGTGGCCTGTCAGAGACGTAAGCAACATGATGGTACAAGGTAGAAAGAATGGTGTGAAGATATGATTGTTCCAATGAAATCTTCAAGTGGGAGATTATTGAAAGTAAACAAAAACGGTTGAATTATTTGGTTCAAAAGTGGGGCGGCTAGTGGTCAAATTTTGCCACCAAATTGATAAAAAAAATTGATGGTAAAACTACACATTTAGTCATTGTACTTTAGGGTATTTATAAGATTAAGTCCTTAAGATTTAGCTATAAATACCCTAGCCCATTTAGCTTCAAAACCATCCCAAAGCATTCTAGCTTTCTTCCAAAACTAGAGAGAATTTAGAGAGTTTCTTGAGAGTTGTTTTCTCCTTTTTATTAAGAGAGAATTATTATTGTTTTCTCCTTGGTAGATCGAGAGAGGTTGTAATTCCTATTTTCTCATAGTGAAATTCTTCTACCGTTGCCCGTGGTTTTTACCCTATTTTATTTAGGGGTTTTCCACGTAAATTTTGTCTTCTTTATCTTCATTTTTATTTTCTCAGATTATCAGTTGCATTTTTACTCTTTTTGATAACCGTCTTCCACAACATCATCACCATACCCACATATTTTCTATTCATCAATAATTCAATACCTGCACATGGACAAACTGAAAACAATTTTTTTTGAATAAGAATGTTGCTTCTTTTGGAGTTTTATTATTTATGCATCCAATCACTTTCTATACCAATACTTTCTTGCTTCATCATTGTTGGCACATGGTTCAAAATGTTATATCAACATCATGCTCCTGGTATAAAATGCTTTTCAATAACGCACACTTTCAGCAACATAAAGAGATGAAAATTCATCTCAAAAAGAATAATAAGAGAAATAAATGAGCATAGATCATCAAAGAATTGTAAATATGCATTAATAGTTTCATTGTGATGTGTCTGTTTCTGTTTTATACTGCAAAAAAAAAAAAAAATGGGGTCTCAACTTAGCTGGCTGAATAGGAGACGGACAAAACATTAGTAGTACCAAACTAATTACTCAAGTAACTAAATTATTGTGTTGTTGGTGGGGATGCACTCCAGAGGTTTTTGCTGTCCGTTTATTTTTTTCTGACATTATGGTAATTTTAATTCTTAATATATATATATACGAACTAAACGATATTAATGGTTAAGAGATTATTGTTTTCTCTTAAGGTCCCGAATTAGAGTATGACGTCAGTAAGGGTGTAGGGACGGACGCAGAATTTTATGTTAGGGGAAAAACTTGAACTTTTAAAATTTTAATAGATTAACTTGAACTTATAAAATTTTAAGGGACGAAAACATATTTTTAATAAAAAACGCATAAAAAAATTAAAATATATAATAATTTTAAAATTCGAGGGGCCGATTGCTCACACTCCCCTCGGTTAATCCTTGTAGAAATGTCTAAAAATTTATTGTAAAATAATTAAAAGTTTTTTGAATAAATATTATATTTTATTCGCCTATAATGATGTAATTTTTTTATATATATCTAACATTCAATTTTTTTAAAAAAAGTCAAATTACTTTTGTTAATGAAAATTTTAATTAAAATATTAAATTTGTAATCATTTTGAGATAACGGATCACTCGTACTTCCTTGTTAAAATTAAATTATATATCACATTAACAAATAATTTTCTAAAAAACATTTAATTTTTTTAAAAAATAATTATTAAAATATTTTAAAATATATATATAGAGAGAGTAAAGGAACAGTCACGTGGATCTAAATTTATCACCATTCGTTTTTCCCCTTTTCTTTGTATCTTATGATAAAGCTCCAGCAATTCAATCGGTCTAAGATTCTATAGATTTGTTTTTATTCTGAATGATTGCATGTGAATAATTGAATACGAAAACAGGGTCTAATAATATTAAAGAATTAATAATTAAAAATTTTAAAAATTGGGTAAACTTTTAAATATATACAAAAATTAAATGCTTTAAAATTAAATATCTTAATTTATTAAACTGCATTCTAGTCACTCACTTTTAATAATTTTGGAGTTTGAAACTTATATATAAAATATAATATAACAAAATTAATTCTTAAATAATAAAAATGTAATATATACGAACATACACACTGAAAATGATGGGACAGAGAAGTAGTTTAGTATATGCTTAGTCTTAGTCCTATATATAGATAGATAGATATATATGTATATATCGATCCTCCAAGGCGTTTCTGTTGCAGCCGAAGTGTGTACGTGGGAGATGGAGGCCAGCATTCCTTTGCTGTGGCAAAAGTAGTACATTCTCCTTAACGGAAAAGGTTGATTTCATCTTATATATATTATATATATATATATATATAACGTATGTAATGTATTAATTGTATGTATACATGATATAGTGGATTGATGTGTTGCATGCACGTCCTGCATGTCCATCCACGTAACTACGTACCAGTACTGTTGATCAGCTTTTTCAGCTCCCCTTCTGATTTTGTTGAATGATTCAGCAAGGTAACGGTAAAGGGTGCATATTTTAGGGACTGATTCAAGCTCGAGTTTAAGTAGGAGTAGGAGTGATTTTTGGAAACGCGTGGCTCGCAATTCTGCACTTAAATGGTTGGAAGCTTGGTTTTTTTTTTTCTTTGTTTTATACTAGGTAGCTGAATCAGAACTACATGTTAATTCCCAATACTTACAACTTTTGGATCATCTTCAGCATATAGACATGGTAAACTATGAAATTTCTGGTTATGTGGGGTGAATTTGTTCTGCAACTTGCGTGCAGTGATACGAGTTAACACATGGAATCATGTTCGAAAATCGAAAAATAATTAGATATTTGTGTATATATTCATTGATGAGAAGCTAGTAATTTTTTTAAAAAAGTACAAGGTGATGGATTACAAGCTGCGAATGTTGGGGGTGAAAGTGAAATCCCATCTTAAAGTAAGTTATTTAATTAATTAGTTCATGCATTGCATTGAATTGGCACCTTTTTGATGCAGACTTGATTTGGCTTCTAATTAACCAATTCATTGATTAATGAAGATGGACTCAGGAGACAATAGGTACATTCATGTGGTTGACGACGACACCAACGATCCTGAAGCAACAGAATCCGAAGCCGAACAGCCACGACGAGTTCAAGCATTTTCCGTAATACTGGAAGAAGGAGGTGACAGGAAACCTATAGGGACTGTCATATATAAGAGTATATACACAGTAATTCTGTCAAAGAAATTTAACGTGCTGATTCCCTTCGGACCTCTAGCAATCCTTGTCCAGAAAAAGACTAATCGAGACGTGAGTTCCATTCATTTATTTTATTGTACTCAATGGATTTTCTAGCTGATGAGTTGTCACATTAATACGCAGGGCTGGGTCTTTATTATTGGTTTACTGGGTATAATGCCGTTGGCAGAGCGGTTGGGTTATACCACAGAGTAAGGACTAAGGATTCATATATAGATCTTTATTCCCAGTATATATTTCTCTTAATTTTCGATATCAGAGAGGTTTTTTATATAGTTCTCCTCTCATTATAGGCAGTTGGCTTTTTACAGTGGACCTACAGGTATGTATATTGTTGTACATGTACATACATGTGTGTGTATGTATATGTGTATGAACTTGAATTCTGGAGTGAAATTTGCAGTTGGGGGTCTTCTAAATGCTACATTTGGGAATGCGACGGAACTTATTATATCGATTTATGCATTAAGAACTGGAAGGATACGTGTAGTTCAGCTGTCGTTGCTCGGGTCGCTCCTGTCGAACTTGTTGTTCGTTCTCGGGATTGCATTCTTCTCCGGTGGGATTGTTCGAAAGGATCAGTTTTTCGACAAGGCAACTGCTGTTGTGAATTCAGGGCTTCTGTTGATGGCAATGATTCTGGAGTGAAATTTGCAGTTGGGGGTCTTCTAAATGCTACATTTGGGAATGCGACGGAACTATTATATCGATTTATGCATTAAGAACTGGAAGGATACGTGTAGTTCAGCTGTCGTTGCTCGGGTCGCTCCTGTCGAACATGTTGTTCGTTCTCGGGATTGCATTCTTCTCCGGTGGGATTGTTCGAAAGGATCAGTTTTTCGACAAGGCAACTGCTGTTGTGAATTCAGGGCTTCTGTTGATGGCAATGATGGGACTACTCTTTCCAGCAACACTCCACAGCACAGGCACCGAAGTGCATTTTGGGATATCAGAGTTGGCTCTTTCAAGAGTTAGTAGCTGTGCCCTGATTCTAGTCTATGCCATCTCCATCATTTTCCAGTTAAAGAATCTAAATGACATGGTGAACATCCATCATAGCCATTAATTTTCTCTTTACCATTGCCGTTCTTTTGACGTTTTTATTACCGCTTTTGACAAACGATACGAAATCAGGAAGGAAGTCAGGCTGCAGAAATCATAGATGGCGATGAAGACGAAGAAGCAGGTCCCGAGATCTCGAAATGGGAATCCGTGATCTGGCTAACAATTACAGCAGCTGCAATTTCGATCCTATCGGAATATCTGGTTGATGCCATTGAGGTACTATAGGTGTTCACATTCCTCTTGTATGATATGGCCTTAGATTTTCTCTTTTTTGACATAAATGTACATGTTTTTGCAGGGAACATCTCTATCATGGGGTGTACCAGTTGCTTTCATTACTGTAATCTTGCTTCCAATAGGAGGAAACACAGCAGCAGTTACCACTTCAGTCATGTTTGCATTGAAAGACAAACTTGTAAGAGATTAATTTTCCAATTAATAATACTCAAATTTGTATCGCTTATCATTTGCAGTATATTGAAATACCATTTTTTTTTCTCAGGATGTGTCTTTGGGAGTGGCAATAGGGTCATCAACGCAGATTTCTATGTTCATAGTAGGTGACTTTTGATTTGAATAAAGGTCATATATATATATATATGTATGTATGCATGTATGTGTTCTAACATTTTTGTTATCGCTTCCATCGGTTCACCATAGATTCCCTTTTGTGTGGTAACTGGATGGATATTTGGTTTCCCTGTGGATTTGAACTTTCAACCTTTTGAGACAGCAACTCTGTTCATGACTGTTCTATTTGTAGCTTTCATAACTCAGGTATGTATGTATGTATGCATGCATGCATGTATGTATGTATGTATGTATGTTAATGATATATTTGCATTTGCATTTTGCAGGAAGGAACTTCTAATTACTTCAAAGGTCTGATGCTGCTTTTCTGCTATTTCCTAGTGGCTGCAAGCTACTTCGTACATGAAGACCCTTCCACTTGGTTAGTAATTTTTGATATATTAGAATTGAAAGCATGAGCCATGGATATGGTCATGCATGATTTAACTGACTAATCAAAATTTTGCAGATACATCTGATGCAACTCAGCTCATGCAACAATCATTTTATCACAGCTTACTTAGCTAATAGCTAGTGATCGTTAGTTACTAAACAAAGACTTTTATCTTTTGGTTTATTTTTTGTGTATAATTAAATCAGAACTGAAATTTGATATGTACAATCGAATCAAATTAAGGTTTATATGTTATAATGCTTGTTGGATGGTAGTACCTAAATAAAGATACATGTATCTTACAATTTTATTGCCAGAATAATCTATGTTTATCTCAGAAAGATGATGTATTTTATCACCAAAGATAACTACAACTATCTTACAACTTGAGCACCATGACGTACATCCGAACCCATGACGTACATCCGAACCCATGACGAACTGGAAAGGCTTATGGTCAGAGATGGATCGAGGGATAGCGGCGGATCCAAAAATATTTTGAGTGTAGGCACATATATATTAATTATTGAAATTTTTTATACAAGATGGATATAAATAAAATTTCAGGGTGAGCACCAATAGTAAAATAAACAACTGAGATTCGGATTCCAATGCCCATCCTAACCATGCTTTGCAACCGCCATTGCTGAGGGAAGATGGCGGCAAGATCAGTCTCCCTAATATTGGAGGGTGTTTATCTGTCATGCATATGTGCCATGCATACGTACTTACGTGGCTATGAGAGTTGTTAACAATTTCTTAGTCAGCTAAGGTGGTTAGCTAGTTGTTGGGCAGTTAAGAGTCTTTGTATTCACGTGCTTTGTTGTATATATACCTCTGTATACATTGCTAAAGAATATAGGTCTTTATTTCACAAGTTTATACTCTCTGTTTCAATAATATTCCATTATGGTATCAATCGCCTTTGATCTTGGGGCTTTCTTCTTTTAGCTTCCGTTGGTTATTAGGTTTGTGATGGTTTGTTGCGTTGTGTGTTCATTGATTCTTCAGCAAAGGGTTTACGAACAAGAAGATCAATGTTCTTCTTGATGAGATGAATTTTTTTTACTTTGGAAGCAACAAGTTCTACTCACTGTTCATAGTCACCGTCTTAAACGGTTGTTAACTGGAACCATGAAAGTCCCGTCGTAGACGGTTGTTGGCGAGGATGGCGTTGTTCGGACGAATGAAGCTTTGTTGCGCAAGATAGTGCGCTCGCCTCATGGTTCCTATCCATTGTAATTCCTCATCTTCTTCCACAGTTTGTGGGGGCAGAGACATCAGCGACGGTTTAGGAAACATTTCTAAGTTTCTTTGTCAATCAGTCTACTGTTGCGGAAGATGGCTATCGGATAGAGCAAAATCGCAACTGATAATTTGAGAAAATAAAAACGAAGATAAAGAGACACAATTTTTACGTGGAAAACCCTTAAATAATATAGGGTAAAAACCACGGGCAACGGTAGAAGAATTTCACTATGAGAAAATAAGAATTACAACTTCTCTCGATCGACCAAGGAGAAAATAATGATAATTCTCTCTTGATAAAAAGGAGAAAACAACTCTCAAGAAACTCTCTAAATTCTCTCTAGTATTGGAAGAAAGTTAGAATGCTTTAGGATGATTGAAGCTAAATGAGCTAGGGTATTTATAGTAAAGCTAAGGACTAATTTGTAATACCCTAAATTATAATGGCTAAAATTAAGGTTCTACCATTGTTGAAAAATCAACAATTGTGTATTGCTTTTTGACAATTGTATTCAGTGGATTAATTAAATCCAACTTTCCACTGAAAGTTGGTTTAATTTTCAATAATCTCCCACTTGAAGATTTGAGTGAAACAATCATATTTTCACACTATTCTTTCTACCTTGTACCATCATGTTGCTTACGTTTCTGACAGGCCACAAGAGGATCGACACCAAGTAAATTTATCGGTATTGATCACCTTCGTCATGAAATCTACTATGTTGTCTTTGGTATGGATCTTCTGCATATCTACGTCCCTTCTCCACCTTTTCACGAATGAAATGGTACTGAACTCGTATGTGCTTTGTCCTTGAATGCTGGATTCCTTGCTAGATGCAATGCGTTTTGACTGTCACAAAACAGAGAGACGTACTCTTGATTGTGCCCAAGCTCCTCCAATAGCATCTTCAACCAAATTGCTTATTTACTGGCTTGTGTAGCTGCTACATATTCTGCTTCTATTGTTAACGTAGCCACAACTGACTGTAATTTTGAAACCCAGCTTACAGCTCCACCAACAATTTTGAACACATATCCTGTAGTAGATTTGCTTTTATCCAAATCCCCTGCATAGTCAGAATCTACATACCCATTGATTAATAAGTTTGATCCTCCGTAACATAATGCAACATTTTAGGTCCCTTTGATGTATCTCAGGATCCTCTTTACTATATTCTAATGCTCTTTGCATGGATTCGCCATGTATCGACTAACCACTCCCACTGCTTGTGCAATGTCTGGTCTTGTGCATATCATAACGAACATTAAACTTCCCACTGCTGATGCATACGGTACTCGAGACATCTCCATCCTCTCTTATTCACTGCTAGGACTCATACTAGAGGATAATTTGAAGTTAATAGGAAGAGGGGTAGAAATTGGCTTACAATCTTGCATGCTGAATCATAACAAGATCTTCTTTAAGTAATTCTTTTGTGAAAGCCAAATCTTCCTATTACTTCTGTCTCGGTGAATTTGCATCCCTAGAATCTTGTTTGCTGATCCCAAGTCCTTCATTTCAAATTCCCTAGCCAGTTGTGCCTTCAATTCTTCAATATGATCTTTGTTAGGTCCTGCAACCAACATGTCATCCACATACAACAGCAATATAACAAAATCGTTTTCACCAGACCTCTTGAAATAAGCACAAGGGTCTGCATTAAGTCTGTTGTATCCAAGGTACATAATGAAAGAATCAAATCTCTTTTACCAATGCCTCGGCGCCTGCTTTAGACCGTACAGAGATTTGTTCAACCTGCAAACCAAGTTCTTCTTTTCTTTTTTCTTCAAAACCTTCAGGTTGGAGTATGTAGATCTCTTTTTCAAGATTTCCATGAAGAAAAGCTGTTTTAACATCTAGCTGCTCTAGATGTAAGTTCAATGTAGCACACATTGCCAAAACTACTCGAGCTGTTGTTAGTCGAACCATAGGAGAAAATATTTCATTGAAATCAATACCTTCTTTTTGAGCATATCCTTTGACCACCAGTCTTGCACGATACCTCTCAACTTGATCGTCATAATTTTGCTTGATTTTGAAGACCCATTTGTTACCAATTGGCTTCCTTCCTTGTGGTAGTGGCACAATGTCCCATGTATTATTTTTATAAAGGGCTTCAATTTCTTCTTGCATCGTCATCATCCACAGTGAAGCATCTGAGCTGTTTATTGCCTCCTGGTATGTTGATGGCTCACCGTCCTCTGTTAAAAGGCAGTATGCAATATTACCTTCTATAACATAATCTGAGTGCCAATTGGGACGTCTTCTCACACAATCTGATTGACGAGTTGTTGGAGCTTAAGAACTCTCTGGTTCTTGTTCATCATGTGTTGGTTCTACTTCAGAAGAATCTCTTTGTTCAAACTCTTTTTCTACATGTATCTGAGTAGTCTCTGACTTTTCAGCGCTATCATCGTCTTCTTTTCTTTGTAGTTTATCTTCTATAAAGATAATATCTCTGCTGATGATCACTTTGCGGGCAGTGGGATCCCACAAGCGATACCCCTTTACTCCATCAGCATACCCCAAGAATTTGCATTTCCTGGATTTTGGATCCAACTTTGAAATTTCTTGGGAGTTGTACATCACGTACACAATACTTCCAAATACATGGAGGTTTGAATAATCAGTTGGTTTATCAGTCCACATCTCCATTGGTGTCTTCAGCTCTATTGCAGTTGATGGAGCTCGATTCACCAAATAACAGGCGGTATTGACTGCTTCTGCCCAGAATGATTTTTCTAGGCCTGCATCCCTCAATATTGCTCTTGTTCTTTCTAACAAGGTTCTGTTCATCCACTCTGCCACTCCATTTTGTTGAGGAGTGTTCACCACTGTGAACTGTCTTTTGATGCCTTCTTTCCTGCAAAAGTCATCAAATTATTCGCTTGTGTAGTCTCCTCCATTATCTATTCTGAAACACTTGATCTTATTTCCAGAATCAAGTTCCACCCGTGCTTTGAAGTTTTTGAAAGTTGAAAACACGTCCGACTTCTTTTTAATAGAGTACACCCAATATCTCCTGGAGTAGTCATCAATAAATGAGGCAAAATATTTTGCTCCGCCTAGGGATGTAACTGGTTCTTGCCATACATCAGAGTAAACTAATTCTAGAATACTTTTGCCTCTAGAATTTGATGTGTTGAATTTCAACCAGTGCTGCTTACTTGTTATGCAATGCTCACACAAAGTAAGTGATACCTTTGTTAAGCCTGAAAGTAGCTTTTGCTCCACAAGGACTTTCATTCCTTGTTCTGACATGTGTCCAAGTTTCTGATGCCACAACATTGTTGAATCTGAACTACATGAGGCAACAGAGGCTTCTGCTTCTAACAAAGTCTCTCCCTTCAGCATGTACAAGTTTGCTGCTATCTTTTCGCCTTTCAGCACCACAAGCGCTCCACGTAACACCTTCATGATTCCTTTCCATGTTTCAATCTTACTTGCATTATTATCCAACAATCCGTAGGATAATAAATTTTTCTTTAGGCCTTTCACGTGCCGCACATCTCGAACAACTTTAATTGTTCCATCGTACATCTTCAATTTGATAGTTCTCACGCCAATGATCTCTAAGGCATGATCATTGCAACTATACACAGATCCTCCTGAGACAGGTTCATAATGATGGAACCATTCTCTTCTTGAGGTCATGTGATATATTGCTCCTGAATCAATGAGCCATATATCTGCAAATCTTTTTCTGTCTTCCACGGTGGTTGACGCTTCACAGCATAGAGCATCTCCATCATCTGAAGTGTTTGCGATATTGCCTTGTGGATTGGAGTTTTTATTTAGACTCCAACAATCCTTCTTCAAGTGACCCTTCTTTCCACAATTGTAGCACTTTAAATTCTTCTTTCTTGTCGA